AAGAGTACGACGGAGAGACTCAAGTGAGGCACCATCCATCCACACAGGGGACTGGGTCGGGCCGGGCTGGGGGTGCTCCGTGGATGGAACATCAGCCTGTAAACGGAAAGGGTTGCCTGTTCAATTCCCACTCAGGGCACAGGCCTGGGTTTCGGGCCAGGTCCCCAGTAGGGGGCGCACAAGAGGCAACCACACATTGATGTTTCTCTCTCTCTTTCTCCCTCCCTTCCCCTTCCAAAATAAATAAGTAAACCCTTAAAAAATAAAATAGATAGATTTTATCTGCAGACATAAAGGGTAGGGTTTGGAACAGAGGTGGTTTTCATTGGTTAACGCTGTAAGCCATAGAGCAGGTTAAATACCACAAAAACCTTCCCTGGTTCCACTTCCGCTTCTCTTTCCCCACCCGATCGACGGACCTTCCAGGGGTCCCTGTGCTATTTCACAGCACCGATTTAATGCCCACGTACCACTACGTGGATTTCACATCGTCGCACTATCACTGTCCTCCTGTGAACTGAACTCCTTCCTCGGAGGCTTTGGAGTTGATCTTGCGTTGGATGTTTGACGGGGATTGGCACGTGCGGGGCCACGATGGGTGGGGGTCTGCCTCAGGTCCCACCTGTGAGTCTAGTCGCTGGCGCACTTCCCAGCTGCTCCACTAGGGGCACCAGAGTCCTCTAACTGAACCGGGGCGTCGAACTCGTTGTGGCCGGGGCTGCGTCAGCCTCCGGGCTGCCTTCACAGGGCAGAATGGGATTTCGGGGCCGTAGAAACGTGACTACTCCTTAACAGGTTAGCGAGAGCTCAGCCGTGCCGCCGGGGAGAGGCAAGGAGCCGAGCCGGATAAAACAAGGTGGAGGGCCGGATTCAGCCCGCGGGCCTTGTACCTGAACTAAACTGATTGCAAAGAGCAGAGAAGCACATTGACCTCAGCTGATTTCAGGGTGCTTCTTGCTTCTGCCGTTGAATACTTTTTACAGTAAAAAAAAAAAAAAAGATTTGGCCCTGGCTGGTGTGGCTCACTGGACTGAGCGCTGGCCTGCAAACCAAAGGGTGGCTGGTTCGATTCCCAGTCAGGGCACAGGCCTGGGTTGTGGGCTGGGTCCCCAGTGAGGGGTGTGTGGGAGGCAACTGCACATCGATGCTTCTCTCCTTCCCTTCCCTCTCCAAAAATAATTAAATAAAATCTTTTTTTAAAAAGATCGGTTTTGAAGGTAAAGCTGACAAACCTCAACACTGGGGTAGCTCATGTGAAGCCGTGCGAACAGCAAGCCAGGTGACCACGCCCCTGCTCCCGATCCGGAAAGCGCTGCAGCAGCCCCGAGCCCGCGGCCCTGGAGCTGCGGCCCTGGTGCAGGGTCGCCGCCTCTGGTGTCGGCCGGGCCTGAGCGCGGCGCGTCTGTGCTGGGCTGTGTGTGGTGTTTGCGTCCTGATGCTTTGCTTCATAGTAACTTCTCCTGTTACGGAACTGACTTGCATTGAACACAAACTGTAAATGAAAAGAAACGGCTGGCCCCGACCCCTGTGGCTCAGTGGGCTGGGCAAAGCGAAGGGTCGCCAGTTGGACTCCCAGCAGTCGCAGGTTCGGTCCCCGGATGGGGCGCGTGTGAGATGCAGCCAATCGATGCTCCTCTCTCACACGGACGCTTCTCTCCTTCCCTTCCCCTCTCTTAAAAATGACTAATCTTGCCCTGGCTGGCGTAGCTCAGTGGATTGAGCGCGGGCTGGGAACCAAAGTGTCCCAGGTTCGATTCCCAGCCAGGGTACATTCCTGGGTTGCAGGCCACGGCCCCCAGCAACCGCACATTGATGTTTCTCTCTCTCTCTCTCTATCGCCCTCCCTTCCCTCTCTAAAAATAAATAAATAAAATATTAAAAAAAAGAAAAAAAAAGAAAAGTACATGACTTCTAAAAAAAAAATGACTAATCTTAAAAAACAAAAAAGAAAAATGAAATGGGTGAGAAAGAGCGAGGGGGAGTGGTCCCCCAGCTTTCTGCAGGCCTCTGCACCCTGCTGCTGCCCCCTATGGCCCCGGGGGGTCAGGGAGAGGTCACGGGGTCACCGCACTCAGACACGGCAGCCTCGGGCCCAGCGCTGGCGAGGAGCTGAGGACTCGCCCAACGCTCGCTGCCCCTTGGGGCTTGTCCGCCCTCAAGGTGTTTGTGCTTAGGTGGCCTAAGCAGGGGCCTCCTCGGGTGCCCCAGCCCACAGCCCTGCCCCCACGGAGGCTGCCCGCCACCCCCTCAGCTGAGCCCAGAGAGGAGAGCTACCGGCAAGGCCAGCACAGCCAGGCCATGCCCAGAGGCTCTCGGGGTGGGGGGCCCTCAGCGCAGGAACCCGGCGGCCCCCCTGCCCTGGTGACAGACGACATGCTTCTGCCTCCCCGGAGCAAAACGGCTCAGCTGCACAGTCTGGAACGACCTCAGACGCCACAGCCACCCGGAGCCCACGGCCACTCAGGGAACCCCGGTGTCCTCCGGGGGGGGCCGGGAGTGGGCACCTGTGGGGGCAGCGGCCCCGGGAGGAGCCCCAGCCGGGCCTGGAGCACTCTCCTGTCCGGCAGGGGCTGGTCCTGCAGCGCAGGAGGCAGCGGGAGCAGGAGCTGGCCGGGCCCCGTCATGGCCGGCCAAGGAGCGCGGGGCTTGCACCCTCTCCTCCGCAGCACTGCGCACTCAGGTGGGACGTGGCCCCCGCTCCCCCGGACGCTGCGGTCAGGGGCGCTCTCCGCCCACACCTGGTGGGGACAGGGCCTTTTCTCCCAGCGCAGGTCGCACACTGGTGGCTAAGACACTGCCATTTGTCACGGGGGCCTTCACCTGCATTTCTGAAACACGGGCAGGTAGTGGCAGGTGTTTTAGTGAGAGCACAGTGCAGAGGGGTCGCAGCCCACCGCCGCTGCCGGCTGCTGCCACCTGCCCCTGCCCCAGAGACTGAGCCCTTCCGGGGGACAGCAGCGGGGTCGGGACCCTAGCCCCGGGCTGGGCCCTAAGGGGCAAGGCCTCCCTGTGCGCCCACCTCAGCGTCCTCACTTCTGGGGGCAGATGTGACTTCCACCCGTGTTTTGTGTGTTCTAATAGATGTCGGAAGAAAATTTTTCAACCCAGAAAAAAAGCAGCAGGCACACAGCTGTGCACTTCAGTTTTTATTTTCCTAAACTGTCCTCTCTCTCCCCGGCAGGAGGCTGGGGACTGGCCACTGGCGTGTCCCTGTGAGGGGCTGTTGCCATGTCAACAGCTTCTGTCAGGGGGTCCTGAGCTGGCTGCCCCGTCCCCGGGTGGACGCCTCACAGACCCAGGGCTCCAGGCTCCAGACCCCAGCCGCCACGGCTTCCGCACAGACGACCTTTGTCCAAGGGCTCACGACGCTGGAGAGCCCAGGGGCCCCAGGAGGGGGAGCGCACTCCCAGCCTCGGTGAACGCCCGATCTCTCACCACATTAGGGCGTCAGCAGAACCAGCACAGCTGTGAAAACAGCACTCACAGGGGTGCCCCCCTGCACTAGAGAGGCCTCCCCTTGGGGTCCCCTGCCAAGGGCCAGGCCCTGCCCCACCCACGCCAGCCTCAGGGCGCCTGCCCAGTGTGCGGGTTGGAACCCCAACCAGAGGCAGCCCCAGCACAGCCCCTTCTGGCTTTCAGGGGCGCAGGGGGAAGCCCGCGGGTGCCCGAGGTGTGGAGTGCAGGGTGTCAGTCCTGACAGGTGTCGGGCGGGGCCCTGTACCCAGAGGGGATTGAGGGGCCAGGGCCTGCGCATCACGGAGGGGAGGAGACTGGGACAGAGCCGCTTCCTCCAGCCTGTCCCCAGCTGTGGCTCAGGCTCAAAGCCCCTAAAGCGCTGCCTGGGACCACGGGAAGGGCGGCGCTTCCGAGATAAGGGACGCCAGCCGCCACATTCTTTGGCAGGGAGATGGGAGTGGGGCCCCTCTCCCCGGGCCTCAGCGGACAGCAGCGATGAGGGGAACCGCACCCCCTCCCCGGGCGTGGGCCTGTCTGCCGCCGCTCTGCCTTCTCTTGGGCTTGCAGGCGTGTTTGGGGGGGAGAAGCTCATCACTCAGGTTGTCTCAAGTGGACGATGGAGCCATTGGGAAAGGACCGGCCCGTGGGCAGGGGCTCGGTGGGGAAGGGGGACCTCTCTGAGCGGCCAATGGTCTTGGATCTGTGCACACGCAGGAGAATCGGTGTGGGAGCCATGAGCTTGCGTGGGGGAAGTCCTGACCCTCAGCTGCCTGCCGACCCCCAGTCAGGGCGTAAGCAGAAACCCACAGTGCACGCACAGGCCACCGTCCCACTCAGGGTCCCCTGAGCCTGACTCAGTGGGGTCGGGGGACACGGAGGAGGAAACCAACACCCGCCTGAGCCCCACTTCTGAACCTGCTCCCTCAGCTCCCACAGTCAGGGCTGGGGCCAGGGCCTGGGCGGTGCGGGGGGCTTTGTCTCTCTTCCCATCGTCACGTGGCAAGCCCTGGGCTGCCACCCGGTGGGCCCCCCCGACACCTAGCACATGGGGCTAGTGGACGGTGGATGGGGCAGGTCTCGGGGCCTGAGCAGGGGCCACGTGATTGTGTGTTGCTCGGAGAGTGAAGGTTCACACACTCGCATGCCCACACATGCACGCACACGCACACACACACACGCACACGCACGCACACGCACACACACCGCCAGCCTGAGAGCCCTGTCGGGGCCGGAGACCACCCCTCAACCCGGCAGTTGCTGGTTGGGGCAGCGGGAAGTCTGAGAGTCACACTGTGGTTGAGGGTGTCGCCGCCGGCAGAGGGCCGGGCACTGCCCATCCCCACTGCCCTCGCCCCATCCCCACGGCAGACCCGGCCCGCGGAACAGGCAGGGCTGTCTGAACAGCAGGCGCACGGAGGGGCCACAGAGGGCCCCCCTTCCCCAGCACCAGCCAGCACACCCTGCGCCCCCCCCCACCGTGGGACCTTTCACAGGCTGGACGTCGGACGAGGAGCGAAGTGCTCCAAGGAGACCACAGGACTCGGTTCACGTCTGATCCACTGTATTTTAGTCTGCGTGCCGCCCGAGTGAGCACTGGCTCACGGTGTTTCCGAGTGTGGGGCGTTAGTGGGGGAGGGGCCCAGGACATGCCCGCCGGGGTGGGGGGGGCCGTGCCGCCTGTGCTCAGGCGGTCCGGTGGCCCCAGAGAGGAAGTGGTGGCAGAAGGGGGTGTCGGAAGATGCAGAGAATCGCTGGAGTGAACCCACCCCAGCGAGGGAGCCCCCCGCCGGCCCGGAAGCGAGAGGCGGCTCCCTGCCGGTGCCGTCCCCAGAACCTGACGCCAGGCTCCGGTCCTCCCACAAGGTGCTTGCACCTGGGCCCAGCAAAGTCTGGAACAGGAAGGCAGGGCCGCCCTCCCTGGCAGGTGCTGGCCCTGCGCCACCAGCTCAGCGTCCAGCTGAAGACCACCTTGCCACCCAGCAGCTGCTGACCGCTGAGTCCACCTCCCCACACTCCCCTCCCCACCCTTGTGCTGACCCGTCCCGTCCATGGAGCCTGTGGGGCCTGGCCGGAGCCAGCTCCCGCTCTTCCCCCGCTTTCTGTTAAGGCCCCGGACCTGAGCTGCCAGCAGGGCCGAGCTCCAGAAGCTAGCTGTCGCCCAAAGAGTGCCTGGTCCTTCACACCAGGGGGAGGTCCGCCCTCCAGTCCCGGTCCAGGGCCTGTCCCCGGTCCGATGTTCTCAACCCGCGCCCAGACTCCCTCTCCATCTCCCTGCTAAATCCCGCTCAGAGGACACCACCGAGTGCCCAGCTCCGGCCAGGCAGGGGCGGGGTCGCGAGGGCCAGCGCTGTGGCCAGAAGCGCAACGGAGGGTCCAGCCGTGGAGAGAGGGCTTGGGGGTCACGCGGAGCCGCCACGCAGCCAAGACCCGGTCAGCACCCCTAGCCCCCAGGCCCAGACCCAGGTTTCGGCGGCGGGCGCCTCCCCCGCCGGCACCGGGAGAAGGGGCCCTGGACCACGCGTGGCGGCCAGCTCACCGCCCCCGGCCCGCGGGCCCTGGCGGCGGCGGGGGGCGCGGGGCGCGGCTGCGCTCGCTGTCCGGCGTGCAGGCCTTGGCCGACATCGCCCTCTCGCGGCCGGAGCGGAAGGCCGCCGTCACGGTCACCAGGTAGGCGGTGCCAGGCGCCAGGCCTTCCAGAGCGGTGCTGTTGCTGCCCGCGGGCACGTCCACCCGCTGCGCCGCGCCGCCGCGCAGCGGGCCAAACTGCACGTGGTAGCCGAGCGCCGCGGCCGGGCCCAGCGCCGGGGCCCAGCTCACGCGCAGGCTGCGCGGCCTGACGTGTGAGATGACGATGCGCTCCGGCCCGGCCTCTTCTGCGGAGGAAGCGCCGGTGAGTGGGTGGGGTCCTAACCCTAACCTCCCCACCTCCGCGCCCCGCTCCCGTCCGCGGGAGCAGACGCCCCGGGTCCCGCCGGCTCACCCGGTAGCGTGCGCACCCGCAGGTGCTGCGGCCTCACAGGGTGCACGTTGGACTCGGGCACTAGCGCCACGTCGTAGTCCGTGTCGGGGTCCAGGTCGGCCCAAGCCCAGCCGGTGGCGTTCCCGGGCAGCTGCTGTCGGCGCGCGGTTCCCGACTCCGCGCGGGGCACCAGTTCCAACAGGTAATAGCCTGAGTCCGCGCTCAGCAGCGGCGGCCAGGCCAGGCGGAAGCCGTTGGACGTGACTTCAGAAACACGGAGCTGCTGCGGCTGCAAAGCGTCTGCGGGTGATGCAGGGGGATGGAGAACCAAGGTCAAGTCCTCCCGCCCAGGCCTGGGACCCTAACTGCTGGCTCAGGAGATATTGGAGATCCAGATATCCGAGGCAAGGGTGGGGGGCACCCACCAGGAAGACGCAGGGAACAGGAGTGCTGGGGAGCCAGGCCAGCCTGGCCACGCCCAGCAGATGCTAATAGCACGAACTGGTGACAGGGCGGGGGTCGGGCAGGACTGCAGCCCCCCCTTCACTTCTGGCCCCATCAGGGGCTTCCCTGCCTGCCTCAGCCCCAGCCCTCCAGGAAGCAGTCTCAGCCACCTCCTGCCCGGTCCAGGGACCTGGACAAGGCTCCCTGCAAGGTGGCAGGGTCCCAGGTGGTGTCTAACAGCAGAGCACCAGCCCCCGCCACAGCCAGAGTGGCACAGGGTCAGGGGACAGCGTGGATCTGGAGAGTCAAGACAGAGGCCGATGGTGAAGTTGGCGAGGGGAGGCCCCCAGGGGACGCCCTGAGGGTGTTGGAGATGCAACAGGAGCAGCTGGGCCTGGGGTTGGACATGCTGTTCACCCCAGGTCCACAGGAGAAGAAGGTGACCCCCAAAGCGGGATTCCCCCAAGCGTGCATTACTCCTGAGCCAGCCGTGACCGTGCTGGCGGGCATGGCGGATGCGTGTCTGGGCAGGGTTAAGCCTGTCGCCATCCTGTTGCCGCCTCCTCTGAGGCTGGGTGTCCCGGCTGCCAGCCTGGCCCTCACTCTCCTGCCCGTTCCCCATCCCCCCCAACTCTGGAGCCCCACACTGCCCTGCAGCCCCCGTTTTTCCTGTGCAGGTGCCTGCTTTTTCTCCTTCTGGCTCCTCACCCACCCCAGGCTCAGCCACAGCAGTTCCCCTGGGACGACAAGGGGCCAGGTGTCCCCGGAGAGAATCTGCAGAAGCACCCTGGATCCCTCTCCACAAGCCACAGCCCAGCCTCTTCCGGGTTTGGGTGGATGATTAACCCACAGGCGGACGCTTGGGAGGAACCCTGGGGTTAGTGGCATTTTTCAGTGGCTACAGCAGGCCGAGCCAGTGCCCAGGCCCTTCATTGCCAGCCCCGCCCCAGCTGGGTTTGGCTGGATCAGTCCAGAAGAAAGTCTGTGGGGAGCTGCGGGCAAACCTGCTTAACGCCTTCTAGCTGTCCTCACCCCGGGGGGCAGTCGGGGAAAGTGGGGCCCCAAGGAAGCAGTCCCGCCCCCCGCCTGGCTCCCAGCCCCAGGCGCAGTGGGCCCTGGCGCCGGCGCTGGAGCACCTGCTGCCCACCTGCAGAGTCCTCGGGCTTGGGACCCCCTTCCTCTCGGCTCCCCTCCACTCGGCCACGTCCCCCCACTGCAGCCCTTGCCCCAGGCCCGCACCATGGCCCCCCACTCCGTGGGGCCCCCAGCAGTGGGCTGGGCCTGTCAGAGAGTGCCCGCCAAGAGCCGTTCCTCCTGGAGGCTCACCTGGCGCTCTTTCTGGGTTCCGCCCGGGCCCCGCCCCCAGCCCCGCCCACTCCCACGCACCGAGGATGGAGCTCCGCAGCTCCGGGGCGATGATGCCCAGGTCGTCCACGTCCACGAAGTGCAGGTGCTTCTCCGCGGGGGCCGAGGCGGCGGCCGACAGCTCCAGGAGGTTGCCGCGGCCGGTGCTGACGATGAAGACGGTGACGCCCAGGTCCTTCAGCTCCTGCATCGGGGGCCCGACCGGGTCGCTGGAGCCGCCGTCGGTCACCCACACCAGCACCTTGGGCACCCCTGGCCGGGCCCCGGCCGCCTCGGCGAACAGCTGCTCCTTGGCGTACGCCAGCGCCAAGCCGGTGTTGGTGTCGCCCATGAGCTGGGTTGCCGCACGTATGGCGTCCTGCACGGCCGCGCCGGAGCCGTGCTGGCCGAAGGGGAACTCGGTGTGGGGCTGGCTGCTGACGTGCACCAGGCTGGCACGCAGGGCCCCCGGGCCCAGGGGCAGCGGGGCTGCCAGCTGCCCCAAGAACTCCCGGACTCGGGAAAACTCATAATGAGACACGCTGGCTGAGCTGTCCAACAGAAAGAGCAGGTCCCCCTGGGGGGCGGAGGCCGGGGGCCCTAGGAGAGAGGGGAGGGCTCAGCCCCACGCAGTGGCTGCCAGACAGCTCCACACCCATGGCGGGGCCCCCAGGGCCTGGGCTTTTCCTGAGTGAGTGCTGGCCTTCACCCAGGTCAGCCCTGAGGGCCTGCTCAGCCCCACCCCGAAGGCCCTGGGGGTGGCGTCCAGGGTGCAGAAGGGTCTGAGCTAACGGGAGGTCTGCACTCCGGGGGGCTCCCAGCTCGGCACCCTGGCCATGGACCTGAGGTGGTCTCTGGGCTCATCCCATTTGTAAAGGAAAGCAGACCCGTCCAAGCCCCCACCCCACCCCCTTTCTGCAGCAGACGGCAAGCAGGCTGGAGCCAAGGGTCCTGGCCCAGAGCTCGAGGCAGTGGCAGGTGGACCAGCCTGGGTGGCTCAGGCTTGTCTTCCAGAGAAGCAGCCTTAGGCTGGACTTCAGCCACGCAGCTCAGCCTCCAGGGGAGGCAACAGGTGGGACATGGAGGAGAGGGGCACCACGCAGCTGGTGAGACTGGGGGCGGAGGAAGAGAAACGGGGGAGGCAGAGCACAGGTCACAGCCCCTCCCACAGCCCAGACGGCCAGGAGGGCAAGGTGCCGCCCCTTCCCGGCCCCGTCCTCGGGCTCTGTCTGCACCCAGGAAGCAAGCTACCTGACACAGAAGCCTGAGAGCTGCACCAGCGCCTCCTGGGCCTCTCCCTTCCTCCTGGCACCCCTGGGGGCAGATAGGCCCGGCCACCACTGGGCCACTGGCAGATGGGGACTGGGGTGTCTTGGTTCTGGCCTGGGTCTGGGGATCTCAGTTTTCCCTAATTCAGTGGGCCAGCTCCAACCTTCTTGTCATCCCTCCACTAAGGGTCATTCCAAGAGAAGGAAACTGAGGCAGGGGCCACCTCCTGGATAGACACCTCCCCTCCCCTCCAGGCCCCACGATCCGGGCAGAACGACAGGGCAGAACGCAGCCTCCACGCTCAGTCGAGCCTCCTGGGACATCTGGGTCCGCCCGCCCGCCAGCCACCCCAGCCCGGCAGCCGCGGGAGGAGAGCGTTGGCCCCGGGCTGGGGGTGGCGGGGGCGCCGGGGCCGGGCCTCAGCGCCCGCCGCACTCACCGAGCTCCGCGCTGCTTCGCACCAGCGCCAGGCTCAGGGCCAGGCCAAGCGCCGTCCAGGTCTGCATCGCGCGCGACGGAACGAGGCGCGCTCCGACTCCGCTAGCCCCTTGCTGGCTCGCTCTAGGGCGGCGACGCGCGCTGCCGCACGAGCTAAACCCGGGCCCCGCCCCCGAGAGGCCCCGCCTCGGTGTGCGCGCTCAGCCGCGTGCTTCGCCCGGACTCCCGGACTCTCTAGGGTGGCGCGCGCACGGAGGAGGGACTCGGACGCGCCCTCGTGGGCACACACGCAAACGGACAAGGCAGTCCTTCTTTCTGGCGGCGAGACTGCGAGGTCTGCCCTGCCCCCTGCCCCCTGCCCTCTGCCCTCAACCAGGAGCAAACAGGGGGCCACCAAGCAGAGTCGGCCCCAGGCCCACTGGCCATGCTTTCTCGGAGCTGGAAGTCCCTGAAGCATGCCCGAGGGGGCCCAGGGAGTGTGAGAGGGTGGGGGTGACTCGAAGAACAACGTGCCCCTAACAAGGCCCAGGCCCTGGTCTCCGCTGGGTCACAGGGCTGGGGGAGGGGGAGGTGACTGGGGCCTGGGACACGTGTCACGGACCAACAGGGATCGAGGAGCCAAACTTAGAAAAGATGCAGGGCATGGGGCACAGCCCACAAGCCCGAGACACTTGAAGGTGGGCTTCTTGGGGAACACAAACCCCCCGCCCCCCCTCGGCTTCTGGGAGGAGGAGCCTCGGGAGCCGGAGGAGGCCAGCGCAGGCCCTGCCCGGCGTGGCCGCGTGAGGGTGGTTGCTGCGCCCACAGACCCTGCCCCGTGAGGGGCCGGGGGCTGAGGTCAGACCCCCAGCAACCCACTGGAGCGCCCCCTGGAGGGACCCGCTCTCGAGCCCCCCAGGGTGGGGCAGTGTCCCCTGGGCGGAAGACCAGGTGGGGAGCCGGACGCCTCACTCCTGCGATGCCTTCCTGTGCGGTGGCCTGCGGCGCCTCCCTGCCGCTCCTCCCTGCGGGGCGGGGGGGTGGGGCTGAGCCCCTGGGTGGGGACTCCGCGGCCAGGATGCCCCTCCCCCCCCACCTCCCAGGGGATGCTCCCCGAAGGAGCAGGAGATGGATGGGGTCCGAGGGTCTTCCTTCCTCTCCTTCTGGCAGGTGAGAGGCAGGCGGGCAGGCTGAGCTCCGCTTTGCCTAAAAAAGGAAGCGGCTCGGCGGAGCCCGAGGAGCTGGGGCAGGAACAGAGCGAGAGCTGTGTCCCCGCGGCCCCCGCCCCTCGCCGGGAATCTTGGCAGCGGCCGCGCTGGCTGGGCTCCACGGACCTCAGGCCTCGGCGGGACCAGAAGCTGCCTGGTGCTTCCTCCCCGGCCTCGTGGTGGGAGCGGGGGCCTCGGGCCGCCAAGGCCCAGGGGCCGCTGCCTGGAGGAGCCCCGCTCAGCCCCCTGCTGCCCAGCATGCGAGGCTACCGGGGGCTGCTGTGGGGACGAGGGCTGTGTCGGAGGCCAGCCAGGCAGCGGCCCCCGCCGAGGAGGGGGCCTGGGGCCTGGGAGGGGGGCACACCCCTGTGGACACACGCAATCGCTTCCTGGCTCACCCTCGTCTCCCTGGGCGCTCGCCCGCCTGGGGCAGCAGCTGGGCCCTGGGGGGGGGGGTGGTCCAGTGGCGAGGCAGTGGCGTCCCTGCTTGCCCCTTCCTCCGGCCCAGCCCCAGCGGGTGGGACCCCGGTGGAAAGGCAAGGCCCACTCTGCAGGGCTGACGGGGAAGTTTCCGTCCCTCCTGGAAAAACTGAGCGGGTCTTCTTGGCCGAGACTCAAGCCCTCGAGGAAGCAGCCGCCCTCCAGCCTCCAGCCTCGGCATCAGAGGGAGAAGGGATGGGACGCCTGGCCTGGGGAGTCCTCGGCCGGCGCTGCTGCCCAGCCCGCCCTGAGCCCGGCCACCTGCCCTGGCCGGGAACTCCCGCCCGGCTCTGGGGCAGCCGCTCCAGCCGCTCCCACGGGCTGAGCCCCCGCCCGGCCCCCAGGAGACGCTTTCCGCCGCCTTGTCCTCGTCATCGCCCCTGCTCCCCGGCCCCACTTCTGGGCCTGCCCCAGGGAGACGGGGGCAGACGGAGAGTCCCCGGGGAGGCCGGGGTCAGCCAGGAGTGCCCTGGTCAGGGCCAGGGCCGAGCCCGAGGCAGACGCCACAGGAAGCACAAACATAATGGTCCGGAAAGCTCCTCTTTGAGGGAAGGCAGGCGGGGGTCAAGGGGGCCCAGAGGAGGACAGAGGCGCCAGGACACAGCAGGCCTGGCCCCCCCCCGGCCTCCCCCCCTGCTGCTTGGCCCTGGGACCGTGGCCTTGGCCCAGCGGGGAGTCCGGTGCGGCGCGCATCACTTCCTGGAGCGGGCCACCCGCCGGGCTGTCCGGAGCAGGTGGAGAGGGTTCCGGGAAACCGGGACTCTGCTCTGCAGGCCCCGCCCCCGCCCCCTCCGCGGGGAGAGCACTCCCTCCTCCGCACAATCCAGGCCTCCGCCGAGAAGAAGGGCCTTTTGTCCCCAGCTCATTGTGGTCATGTTAACCCCACGGAAAAGGGCAGCTCCCGGGACCTCTGACCTCACCCCTGACTCCAGCCCGGGGCTCTCTGCGGGGGCCCGAGGGGCAGACGGGCCTGGGCCCTGTTGCCCGCCCCTGCCCCGTCCCCCGGGGCTGCCCCCACCTTCGGCTGTTTTTTGGTTGTTGGATCTGCCCACGCAGAGGCGGGAGCAGGAAGGGGGTGGCTGCCATGGCCCTGGGGCAGGGGTAGGAGCACGCCAAGGCCCCCACAGCAGTCAGTGAGACAGGGCGGGGCATCCGAGAGCACAGGGCCCCGAGACCCTGCCCCCCTGCCCCCCCACCCACACATTCTTCCAGACTTAACCTGCCTGTTTGCGGTCAGGGACGTGCCAGGACCTGAGGGCCCGTCCGGGGGTCTGTGGGTCCCGGCTTTCATCCCCAGGAGTCCAGGCCTGCCCTCTGTGGCCCAGAGCTGGCGGCCCCGCCCTGGCCCCCCGGCAGGGGTGGGGGCTGCCTGAGCGCGGCACCCCATTTTTGTTGCTCCTTCCTCAGTGCTGGGCCAGGCCGCAGGCAGGGTCTGCAGTGAGGACACAGGGACTGGGCACAGCCCCTGTCCCCCCAGTGCTGCCGAGTCAGAGGGGGTACCAGCGCTGTCCTTGTTTTCCCCACCGAGGGCGGGGCAGGGGCTGCAGGAAGCGCTGAGGCCCTTGGGTGGGGGCAGGCGGGTGTGTGCCGGAGCAGTAGGCGGCCTGGGGCAGGGGTGGCCGTGGGCTGTAAGGCCTCCTTCGCTGGGCAGGCCAGAGGCAGCGCCTGACGGGCAGGAGCGGGCGGCACCGAGGAAGGCAGAGCCGCTGCTGGGTGTCCAGCCTGTGCGGCGCACTGACGGGGCGCTCTGCAGAGGTGGGCCCCGGAGCTTCGGTTCCCTCCGTGGGGACTTTCTGTGACAGGGAGGTGACCGCTGCTCCCTGTGCCAGCCCTGGGTCGGGTCCCCACGGGCCTGCAGGGGAAGGAGAGAGCAGGGCGGGCCAAGCCCGCGTCGCCTCCCTGGCGGGGCCTCCCCAGCGGTGGGATGGGGCCCCAGAGCAGGGGCCTTAGGCCTCAGAGCCAGCCCCGCCCGGTCCTGCAGTGGGGGTCCAGACCGGGCCCCCCAAGGCGGGCCTCAGCAGTAGGCAGGGTGCTTCGAGCTGAAGGCGACTCCAGCTGCAGGCTCTGAAGAACCCTGTGCCCCTCCCACACCTGCCCGGAGGCCTCGAGCAGCGGGCTTGTCCCTGGTGAGCGGTGGGCCAGGTTCACTTCTTGTGACCGGTTCACAGGGCAGAACGAGTTTCTGTTCACCACGCACCTGCCCTTCTCGCCCTCTCCCCGGCTCGGGATCCCCGCCGCCCACGCCCCCTTTCTGGCTCCGGCCCTCTCGTGCCTGTGGGTCTCGGACTCCCCCGTTTGCCGGGTTCCCGTGCACAGCTGGCTGGTTTCTGTCGCTTTTCTGTCTCCTGTCTATTGGATGTTGGACCGGCCCGAGGAACCCTGGGGGCAGGGGAGAGTGTGCTCCTGCACACGGCGAGGGTGGTGGGCGACGCGGGCTGGGAAGGAGTTCACGGAGAGAAGCAAGTGCAGAGAGTGAAGTTCTGCTCCCTCTCCAGGAAAGGGGAGGGGCGTGGTGGGGAGGGATACGCCAGCACCCAGGGGTGGGGGCTTTGGGCTTTTATTGGACTAGCGTTGGATTAAAAAAGGGTGGGGGGGGGTTGCTGCGGTGAAGCCCCCGGGCCGCTGGGACGTTGGAACGCGAGGCTGCGGTTCGCTCCCTGGTGCCTGCTGCCTGTGGCTGTAGGGAGTGGTCAGTTCTGTTCCTGCTTCCAGCCATGCCCTGTCCCAGGGACGACAAGCTCAGAAGAGTAACATGGCGTCGTGTTTAACAAGGTCCCAGGCCTGCTGGGCAAACGGTGCCACGACTGCAAATGGCGCTGGCGTGGTCCTTTCGCCCACGACCCAGCTCACTTCCTCCCCGGCACCCCTCGCACGGCCCACACACGGCATCTGGGTGCGAGCTGGAGGGACGGAACTGGCCCTAGACCCCTCCCGGCCGCTCCTTCCCGTCTGAGGGGGGGCCTGCAGGCGCCTCAGCTCCTGGAAAATGCTTCGTGCAGGAATAAACGGCTTCGGACAGGTCCGGGGGGCCTTGCACCGTCTCCACACCTGAGGGGTCGGATGGCCAACCCCCGCCCCACCCAGGGCCACAGGGGAGGAGGACAGGCAGGAGCCAGAATGCGCACACAGGGGCGTGGGGGTCCCTGTAGCCGGGCACGCTCTGCAGAGCAGGGGCCTGGGTACTGGGCTGGGGAAAGGGCGATCGTTGTCCTGGGGACCAAAAGGGGCCATGTGCTAGCCCTCACTGGCTCGGGGGTCTCGGGGGGCCTGGGCCGCCAGGCTGGGACCCTCCCTGACTCACGTGGGTCTCGACCTTAATCAAGCCCCTGTTGTCTCTTCGCATCTATGACGACGAGGACACACCGGTGGGATTGCGCGGGCACCACCAGCACCACTGACGCCCCGGTGGCCACGGAGCCCCTGGCTGTCACCGTCACCCTGTGGACGGCGAGCCGCCCTGCGCCCGCCTGTGCGAGGCAGCGTCCACCACCTCCCTTTCCCTCCGGCCCCGACGTCCCCACCCCGCCGCACTGCCTCCGTCTCCCCGACCTCTCTCTCCCCAGTGGGTCTCCCCACCGAACCCCCTTACATCTCTTCTTCTGACTGCAACGTACAAAGTGGGGTGCAAAACGGCCATTTTCTGGGGCGTGGTCTCCGTCCCCTGAGGTTTTGCTTCCTCGCGATCGTCCTCAGTTTGGTTCCAAGAAACTCACAAAAACTCTTCCAGTGTGGACGTTTCTTACTCGGACATTCTCCGGGGGAGGCCTCTGTCCGGCCTGCCGGCCCCTCAGCGCCTGCCTCCTGAGCAGCTGGGACCCCTGGATGGGTTGAGGGGTGTTGAGGTCAGTGCTCCCCAAACTTCAGGGTGGGCTTGGGGGGCCATTTTAGGCTGGGATGGGGATGGAGGGGACTCTTGGGGGAGGGGAACAGAGACTCCCACCAGAGGGGGCTGGGCCTGAGAGGAGGAGGCTTCTGTCACGCCTCCGGGCTAGGGTTAGGGTTAGAGGCAGAGATTTGGGAGGGGGGGGGGCGTGAGGGAGGGTAGAAGGGCCTGGATAGGTCATGTGAATGACGGGCCTGGAGGAGGGGGGTCTCGTGGCTGGAAGGCCTGGGCCCTGCCTCCCCATTAGCCCAGGCCTCCCTCTCCCTCACCAAGGACCTGTCCACAGGGTGTCAGATCCGGGGCGGGGGGGGGCGGCCACCTGGCACACTGGAAAGAACAGAAGGTCCTTCCGAGCCTTCCCCAGGGCCCAGGCCTGGTTTCGGTTCTCCCTGCTGGGTCAGCTCTGGGCTGGCGGCACAGACGCAGCGTCCCCACTTGCCCGACAGCTGGCCCTCTCAAAGCAGACCCCGAGGCCCCTCTGTGAACTTCCCACAGGCTCCCATAGATGTCTTTGTGAGTGGGTGGGGCTGAGCTGGGCCTCGGAGGTGGCCTGTGACCCTGGGACGCGCCTTAGGAGCCCCGTGGGCGCAGGCAGCTGAGCACCCCGCCCCCAGCAGGCCCAGCTGTTGTCTGGTGACTCCAGGGCCAGGCGCGTCCCCAGGAGAGTCCTCGCATCCTAAGACGCCTGGGCGGGGGGGAAGGAAGACGGCCTTGGGCGCAAGGAAGTCATCCTTGACGGCTGGGCGGCCAGCCAGGCTCCTGTCTGCCTGGGAACGGCCTTGGAGCCGGGCACAGACGGCTGGGAACCCCAGAGGACGCCTGTTGGGGCCGGGCCAACCGCACAGTGGGCTCTGCTCAAGGCCAGGGAATGAACCCTGGCCCTGGTCACACTCGGAGCTGTGAGCGGCAATCTCCCGGCATGTCGGAGACCAGACCCTGCTGGTCACAGGCGGAGTCCAGCTAGCACTAGGGCGCGTTAGGTCCTTCACAAGGCCTTTCAGCTGCCACTAGACTCTGGACAGGGCACAACAAGCACAGAGTTTTATTTTATTTATTTATGTATTTATTTATTTTCAGAGAGAGGGGAAGGGAGGGAGAAAGAGAGACAAACATCGAGGTGCAAGAGGTACGGGGATCGGCTGCCTCTCGCACGCCCCATCTGGGGACCTGGCCTGCAGCCCAGGCATGTGCCCTGACAGGGAATTGAACTGGTGACTTTTCGGTCTGCAGGCCAGCGCTCAGTCCACCGAGCCACAACAGCCAGGGCAGGCCTCGGAATTTTCACAGGTGTGGGCTGACCATGAGCATTAGCAAACTTTCAGAGAAACAATACGCTATTCGTGAGAATCAGCGAAAAATAACACATAACAAAGTTAGACCCCCAAGACTAACAAATTGGAATTGTTAGGGACGGAGTATACAATAACAGTGAACTGGTCAAGACTTCGAAACTGGAACCCACAGGTCAAGCACGCCACCAAGAGACCGTCAGAAGTGATCAGAGTTAAAAAGGAAGCAAATGTAACCTTTAGACATCATAACCGAAAATTAAATGGGCAGATTGGGCGCAGCGAGTGAACGGGAGCTGGAAGAGGGAGCTGAGGGCCTGGCCCAGGAGGCAGCGGAGAGAGACGATGAGACGGAAAACACAGGGGGGACGAGTTAACAGTGCGGTCCAGGGGGAGGGCGGCGTGTCCCCCAAGGACGGGTGCAATGACTGACAGCCAGAACTCCAGGGACACTAGTTGAGACTTCTCCGCAAATGATGAAATGCACGAATCCCTAGGAACGGGAAACACCGCGGATACCAAACGGATAGTTAAAAACGTACCCATACCCAGAAACGAGCTTAAAGCACAGAACAGAATACAGAAGACACCGATCTTAAAATCATCCAGAGAGAACAGACCGAGCCGGGCCCTGGCCTTAGTCCTAGCCGAGCGGGCCCTGGCGCGGCTGGCCGTCGCTGAGCTGCTGGGAGCGAGCTCTCCAGCGAGTGCGGGAGTCTCGGAAGCCTGCTGGAGGCCCCTGGCTGACCAGACAGGGCCCGCAGGGGCTGTCCTTTGCGAGGCGGCAGGAGCCCAGGGCAGCCACAGCGGCAGAAACCCGAAAGGCCGCCTTTCCGGGAGCCCGGACGCGCGCCCTCTCTGGGAGCCAGCCCGCCTCGGGGAGGCTTCCCAGCGCCTCCGCGGCAGGAGTGATCCTCCCACCCCGCACCCAGTTTCCAGGGAGTCCAGCGCCATCTCGCGGTCGCTCGGAGCACTGCGCACGAGCCGGAAGCACGCAGGCGACTTCGCGGCACCTGGACGCAGACGTCGAGCTCGCCGGCCTGGGGCCACTTTAGGGGGGCTACGGGGGGCGGGGTTCGGGGGCCTCCCGGGACTTGGAAGGGTCTCTGGGGTCACACCCAGGCGCAGAGCTGCTCCTCCCCATCGGGGTGGCGTTCTGTCCGCACGCCGTCGCTGGACCCTGGGTGTCGGCGGGGTCCAGGGGTCCACGTGGGGGGCGGCAGCAGCGGGCGGAGGCGCCGGGCCAGGCGGGCGCGGATGGCAGCGGCGAGCACCAGCAGCGGAGGCAGCGAGAGGAAGCCCAGCACGATGAGCGTCGCCGAGCTGCGGTCGGAGAGCAGCGCGCGGCACGTGGGGACGGGCGCCGGGTGGACCTAGGGGCGGGGCGGGTGGTCAGGGGCGCGGCAGGAGGGGCGCGGCAGGAGGGGCGGGGCCATAGGCCGGTGGATGGGGCGGGGCCTGGGAGCGCACCACCAGGGGCTAGGCTGAGAGGGCCCGAGGTCTAGTGGGGCCTGTGGCTGAGCCCCCTGTGGGCCTGTCCTTTCTGAGCCGAGGATGGGAGGTCAGGAACCCGAGAGGCAAATGGCTAGAGTAGGACTCCCTTGAGCCTCAGCTGGGAGAATCCCCACCCCTCCCCGCCATTGCCAGATTCCCACCACTCACCCCCAACACACACATTACTCTCCCGCAGCCCTACTCTACGCTGGCGTCTGACCAGCAGCCCTGACCTGTGAGTGTCGCCAGCTGATGTCACCTTACCTTCAGCGGCCCCTTGTTCAGTCCCCCTCCCCTGCCCCTGTGCTTATAGGAAGGGGACCTAGGGACCCACCTGCCTGCACCCTCCGTGGTCAGGACCAAGCCGCATCCCTTCACACACGGGAAACCCAGCTCGGGGCAGGAGGGCTCCTCCGCAGGGGCTGTGAGTGGGGGTGAGGGGCGGCGAGGGGCTGCGCACCGCTAAAATCCAGCAACATCTCATCTTCTCTCCCTGGAACCCCCTCCTCTCCCCACCCCATCAGCTGTCCAGGCCCTGGTGGCCCCTGGTACAAGGCTGGGGGCCCTCAGGGGAGGGGAAGGAGCTGTCACCCCCAGTGGGGAACAAAAGCCCTTTTTCTGCCGCGGCCGACGGGGGAGGGGCTGGCAGAAGGGCCCCCCAGGGAGGGGCACTCCCGTCTCTGGGGACAAGGAGGCCGGGCCCGAAGGGGGAAGATGCACCTTCAGGCCCAGGGCCCTGACCTCCCGCAGGACCCCACTCCCCAGGGGTCCCGGCCGGCACCCCCACCCCCGGAGGGCTCCGCTCACCCTGGAGTGGCACAGGAATCCCAGGTAGATGAGGGCGGCTGCTGGCATCAACACCAGCAGGAACACGGTGGCGGGGAGCAGCAGGTGGAGCAGGAGCTGGGACAGAAGCTGGCCGGGCAGCAGCAGCGTCCTGAGGCCTCGGGCGGCCATGCCTGCCCACCCCGAGGACAGCGGGGCGGATGCCTGGTGGGCGGGACGCCAGCGGGGCAGCATGGGCGCCGTGTCTGAAGCGTCCCCCCCCTCATCCTCCTCGGCCTCCCTCCCCTGCTCACTCATGCTCTCGCAGGCAGCGGGTCTGGTGGGCTCCCAGCGGCAGTCGGACGGCGACCGGGACCCCTAGGGTCAGCTCTAGGTGCCCTGGTCAGACCGCTTCTCAGACCCCAGCAGCCAGATAATGGACCAGCTGCAGGGCAGGACCTCAGGCCAGGTAGGTCCAGCCTCGACCATCTGTCTGCAGGGCCACACCCTTGCCTCAGTTTCCCCCACTGCCAGTCTGGGTCTCTCTCTCTGCCTGGCGACCACGGCTCCAGCCCTGGCCAGTGTGCGTAGCTCTGGTCAGGGTTAGCACAGCTGTCCCCATGGCCTGGCACCGGGGCCCTCCTCGCCCCTGGCCCCGCCCTCCTTGCCCTCCCGCCAATGACATCATTTCATAGAGCTCGACTCTCTCAACTGCCCCGTCTGGAGCTGGCACGTGGAGGCCACCACCCACCCAACTGCCCAGTCCTGGCTCTTGCTGGCCCCCCATCTGCAGACCTGGCCCCGCTCAGCCTCCGCCACCCAGGGAAGACATGGGCACCCACCCCCTGGGGTGGCTGAGAGGGCTCGTGGGACCCAGCACACACTCGGCATGCAGTCATGGTGGCCGCCCCGACAGGTGTCCCTGATCAGACGGAGTCCAGTCCGTCCTGGAAGCTGGGAGCAGAGATTCTGTTATTCCAAGTGGGGAAAAGCATGCCCCGCCCATCCGCAAAACCCCAACTGACGTCCCCAAGTATCAATAAAACCCTCTCGCCTCCTCCCAGGGGCCCCAGGGTGTCCTCGCATGACGAGGGGACAGGAGCTGAGGCTCAGGCTGCCTCCAGCCGCACGGAGGCGGCGGGCGCCAGGCACCAAGGGCCCCTCCCCACCTCTGCAGCCCCGTTGCCCCCAACTTCCCTTTGAACGCATGCCAGGCCCCTCAGGCTCCCCGGCCCCCTCAGACGCCCGCGAGTCGGGGCTCCGGCAGCGACGGCGGGGACACGGCTAGGAGACACGAGCCTGCCACAGGCCCGGTCGGGATGGCGGAGGCTCCCCTGCAGCTCACGCCGCGCCCCGTGGCCAGGCACCAACGCAGCTCCTGCACGCCGAGATCTTATCGTAGCTGCTGGTTGAGTCAGACAGGGAACGTGGGGTAAAAGGCGCCACAGGCAGTAACGTCTGGGCAGAGAGTACAGAGGGCGAGCACACCTGTCTCATCTCCTCTCTGGCCCCACCCTGTCCTCGGGTGGGTCCGCTCGGCTCCAGGCCCTGAGGGCTGGGTGATGAGTGCGGCTGGTGGCGGGGTGGGGGTGGGGTGGGGGGCTCTGTGCAGGCATCCTGATGGCCTTGCAGGAGGACCCGGCAGAGGCCCCCTAGGCTGTGGCAGGGTGTGGGAAGGCTGTCGGGGGGCGTTCTGAGACCCCCCCCCGGCTCTGACTGGCCCCAGTGGACCCTCAACAACAGGGCGGCCTCTGTGGGCTCCTCGCCCCGGGCTGTGCTGCCTGGGATCCAGCCCATCCTTGTGTCCAACGTCCCCTGTGGGACGGGGACACAGGGAGCTCCCGTTCCGAGAGAGGAAGACAGATGCTCGAAACAAAACCCGCGCTTTCAGGGAGTGACAGGCACTGAGAAGAAGCGGAACGCGGCCGGGGCCGGCTTGCCTCGGACTGGTGGTCAGTCGGGGGCCCCTCTGGGAGGCGGCATCTGAGCAGAGTGACTGAGGCTCATGGGGCAGGGTCCCCGGGGCTTGGCGGTGAGTGGGGTCCCGTAGCCTCCTGCGTGGAGACCCACCCTTCGGTCCTGGCACCTGTCAGGGCTGCTTTCGAGGGAGGGGCTAAGGCTCCGTTGCCCCTTTTAGAGGGGGAACAGCGTGGGGCCCAGGTGACACTTCATCCCTGGGAGCCAGAGGGCGGGGCTGGGGTGGGAGTGACAGCTCCAAAGCTCTGCTGCCCCCTGGTGGGCAGTCCTGAGAGGCAGCTGGAGCTTCTCCTGTCCGGGCTTCTCCTGTTCAGGCAGCGGTCCCCAGCGACTGGGGATGGAAAGGCGGAGCCTGCCCCAGGGCCCCCGGAACAGAGGCGACCACCTTGCAGGGTGCTCAGGCCCCTTCCTGTCCTGTCCAGCTAGTCTCCTGTCCTGAACATTCTCCCTCCGCCCGGCTCCCTCCCTCTGCTGCCCAGCACTCCCCTGTCACGGCCTCACTGGCTGCCTGGGCATCTGACTCAAGGGGCTTCCTCCCCCAGGCCTTTTTAGCCAGGTTGCCTGGCTCGGGAAGGAAGGGTCCCCCCTCACGCTGTGCACCTCCCCAGCCTGGAATCAGGGTAGAGGCCGGACTCTGCCAGGGGCAGTGGCCTTGGCGGGGACAGGAGTGGGGGCAGGGGCAGGCCCTGAGGGAGGGACCCACGGAAGGCACTTGGGTACCTGGGGGCAGGGGCAAAGGCAAGTCCTGGCCCATCAAAGGCTGCGCTCCGCAGGGGACCTGCAGCCCTTGGGCGTGTGCCTGCTTGCCCGGCCTTTGTCTCTCGGAGCCCTGGCAGTTGGCGGAGGAGGACGGGCGCTGGGCTAGGGGCGGTGGCTGCCAGGCGGGGCCTCTCCTTCAACTGCTGGGTAAACAGTGTGAGAAGCAGTGCGTGGCCTGGCCCAGGGGGCAGCAGGAGGCGGCTCTGCTCCCCCACACTCCCGGCCACACACTCACGCACACACACACACACACAGCTCCAGACTTCCTGCCCTCCGGGGCAGACACACTGCCCCCGTCCCCCACCCACTCAGAAGCAGATCCTGGCGAGGGCCGCCAGGCTGTGGCTGGACCAGGATGAGCATGGAGAGGCACCCTGGCCAGAGGACAGAGCCCCTGGGCAGCCTCCCAGTGCGGGTAACAGAGCCTGCCGGTGGCCTGGTTCCCTGGGAGAAAGACCGGGGGTGTGTGTGTGGGGGGGGTCCCTGTTGTTCTGGGGACTGGGGGCTGGGGCTGGCCCCGGGCCTCCCGTATACAAGCAGGATTCTTGCTCTTCTCAGGTGAATTCCGGGAGTTCAGAGCCCGGGAAGCAGGACCTGACTGAGGCAGGAGCAGAGCAGGAACTCAGGTGGATTGAGCTGGGCTCTGAGGAGACCCTGGGAGCTGGGGCAGAGGGGCCCAGGGCCCCACAGGCCTGTGGGGGCTTGTTGCAGGCCGTGTGGAGCGGTCACCCAGGCCTCACAATGCAGCTGCTGCGGCAGGGGGCCAGTGTGGAGGAGAGGTGAGCCCCGCTCAGGACAGGGTCTGTCCACCAGGAGTGGGGGCAGAGGTCCCACCTCTGAGCAGGACGGAGGGGTTCCCTCAGGGGTAAAGTAGCACGTCCCTTCCCCAGCCTGGGCCCCTTCGCTGAACTGGGCAGAGAGGGCAGGGCCCCCTTCACCCCTCAGGGCAGGACAGGATCTCATCGACCAGCGGTCCCCTCCCTCGCCCTCACGTCCCGCTCCGCAGGGATGGCGCGGGAAGGACCCCGCTCCATCTGGCCGTGCTGCGCGGCCACGTGCCCCTGGTGCGGCTCTTGCTGCAGCGCGGGGCCCCGGTGGAAGCCACGGACTGCGCGGGGCGCACGCCGCTGCACGAGGCCTCCTGGCACGGGCACTCGCAGGTGGCCGAGCTGCTGGTGCGTCGTGGAGCCCCGACGGCGGCGCGCTCCAGGGCGGGCCTCTTGCCGCTGCACTGCGCAGCCGCGCTGGGCCGCACGCTGCTGGCTGGGCTGCTGCTGGGTGCGCCAGGCCCGGGCTCCGAGGCGGCGGACGCGCGCGGCTGGACGGCGGCGCACTGGGCGGCCGCGGGTGGCCAGCTGCCGGTGCTGGAGCTGCTGGCGGCAGGGGGTGGCGCGGACCTGGACGGCGCCCTGCTGGTGGCGGCCGCGGCAGGGCGCGCGGCGGCGCTGCGCCTGCTCCTGGACTGTGGCGCGCGAGTGGACGCCCGGGACGGCGCGGGAGCCACCGCGCTCAGCGTCGCCGCCGATTTGGGGCGCCAGCAGGTAAGTCCCGGTCTGACTCCCCGCCCCGCCCTCGCCACCGGATGGGGAGGTTGCAGGGGGGTGTCCTTCGCCCCAGGAGCAGCGCCGCCCACCGCAGGTGTGCGGATGGCGCCGGCAGAGCGGCCCCTGCGGGCAGGAGGAGGCGGAGCGGGGCGGGCCCCAGCCTTGACTGCGCCCCGGTGAGTGACGTCCCCGGGAAACCTGGGGAGCGTGCCTGGCCGGGCACCCAGGGCACCCAGGTTTACTCTGGGGACCCGCAGCAACGAACGTCTACTGAGCACCAGGCGTGCGCCTGGGTCCAGCCAGCCCCCAGCCAGCGGGACAGCCGGCAGGGGGCTGTGAGTCTCGGGTTCGGTCCCAGGACGATGGGGGGGACAAGCGGTAGTCTCTAAGCCAGGGGTGTCAAAGTCATTCTCAGCGGGGGCCGCAGCAGCCTCGCGGTTGCCTTCAAAGGGCTGAAATAATTTTAGGGCTGTATAAATGTAACTGCTCCTTAACTGTTAAGGAGTTGTAATTACATTCGTCCCTTTGAAGGCAAGGGCGAGGCTGTTGTGGCCTCCAGTGAGAATGAGTTTGACACCCCTGCTAAGCATAGCGCCCCCCCCCCGCCCCGCCCCGCCCCAGAGCGCTGTTGGCTCATTTACCAAATGGGGACGCAGTGTTGAGAGAGAGGCGGTTAGGTGACACAGACCAGATGAGGTCTGGGTCAGGCCAGTGGCACGGCGGCCCCAGACCCTCGCCCTCCAGGGCCCGGGCTGGCCCTGCCCTGCCCTGCCCTGCCCTCCTCTTCCAGGACGTGGAGGTGCTGCTTGACCACGGGGCAGACCCGCGCCTCCGGGACAGGCACGGACGCGCTGCACTCCACAGGGCGGCCGCCAGGGGGCACCTGCCTGCCGTCCAGCTGCTGGCATCCCGGGGAGCGGAGGTGGACGCTCAAGACTCCTTGGGCCTCACCCCTCTGCACCATGCTGCTCGGGGAGGCCACGTGGAAGTCGCTAGACACCTCCTGGACAGCGGTGCACAGGTCAACGCTACTGGTTGGCTTCACAGGACGCCCCTGCACCTCGCTGTGGAGCGTGGCCACGGCCCCACAGCAGAGCTGTTGCTGAGCCGGGGTGCCAGCCCCACCGTAGGCACACTGTGGGGTGAGGTGACCCAGGACCTGGTGTCCGAGGGGCATCTGGCCCAGGCCCGGCCCACCCTTGGCAGGGAGCAGAATGACTGCTAGGGGCACACAGCCCCGTGGGCCTGAGCCTGCGTGGCCAGCGCTGGACAGAAAGCTCCCCAGTCCCACGGCCCTGATCCTCTACCAGGCTCTGCCCTTCTGGGCTGAGGCCACGGGTGGTGTGGCTCGGAGAACAGCCCAGCCGAGAGGTTCCTGCAGGAAAAGGGGCAGGCGGTGGCTGGAGCCCCAGGAACGGGCCCATGGCCTGGCTTGGGACGGCAGTGCACCACCTTGTGCAGCTCTGGCCAACCCCACAATCTTCGGCAGAGAAGCGGTTGTGGCCTTGTATTTGACCAACACCTGATGGTCTCCGCTTTGTCTGTCCACCACGGGGGTGT